ATTGTTAATAGTATATACACTTATTTTGACTAGTATTCCACATACATTCCATATAGTGAACATTCTATACAGTGTTCAAAAATATGCACCAACTGCTCGACCACTATATGGAATGTTCACTGTATTTGTGTGTTAACTAATTTTTATGATTTTTTAGAGATAGAAATAACGGCCGCAAAGAGTCGGTGGGCAGTACGGGAAGCAATCGGTCGGTGATCGCTGAACGACATTCTGGCCATTCGGCCAAAGGAGAGGTTATATTACCGCCCGTAGAGGACGGCGAGACCCACACGACAGTCATTATACAGCGTAAGCCATACGGCGATCAAGTGATCCGATAGTGTGATCGACGCCCGACTTTTCCAGACACTAGTTATTTGTGATTATAATTATGGGTTTTAATAAATACATGATTATAATTAAAGCAAATATTATTATGTAAAACACACATCACTCAAAGTATTGTGCGTTTGTATAAGTTTAATACAAATATGTATGTTTGTTAATACAAATAAAATTAACAAAAAAACTATTTTTCAACCAAAAAATTAAATAAAACATATTTTTATTAAATCATAAATAATAATAATTAAGCATTAGTTTGATTTTGTTATACAATTCATGTTATCAATCAATGATTTGTTTGGATTTAACTGATCCGACGCTTCCAACCTATCCTTCATTGCTCTTAACCTTCAGATCCGTTGGTCTCTTGTCTTTCAGTGACGACAAAGACTTCGATGCCTTCGGGTCTTCACTTTGCGATGCATTCAAAGACTTATTACCCGATTCTGTGTCCGAAGAGATGGTCACATAATCTCGAGGTTTTGGTTTGGTTTTGTATCTCCGGTAACCTTTTGGGGCAGATCTCGTCCAAAGTTTATACGTTATAAATGCTATAATCAGTGCAGTTATGACCACCAAAATGCACATTAATATCAATATCTTTATGTATATACTGTCAATTGGATCTAATTTCTTGTCGCACCCAATCCATTGAGCGATAGTTTGATTAATACAGTTGTCGTCAAAAGTAAGAGTCCTGTTATCCATACGACAGACACGGTTTGAGGCAATAAAATAAAAGTATTCATTGAATGCAAAGCCGGCCGTTGTTTCAAACAAATAACTTTGGATCTCATCGATGGTAAGCTTATTATTGGTGTTATTAGTTATTTTCATGAGGGTTGGGATCAGTTTAATCACACTAAAATGACTATTAGCTGATCCTTTAGTGAAATAATAAGATTCAAAGGGAAAATCTCTCGTTATATATATTATGCTTCGTTTCACTACTAATGATATGTTAACCCATTGTTCAAAATAAATTAATCTCAAATAAGACTTTAGTGTTAGTTTCTTCTGCTCAATAATTGTCTTATTATTTAAATGCATTGTCCATTTGATATTGTCTTTCTTCTAATTATAATTATATCAAACAATTAACTAATAATTCATACAATTTATATCAAAACTTACATTTTCTAATGAAATGATGTCTCCATAATCCGAATAATACACTAAATTTATGGAACTGTGAATACCTTTTGACCACTCGTTCAATGGTATGGATCTCTTGTATTGAATCGTTTCGTTTGAATTGATAGTCAACTGATGGACAGTTGTGTCTTCAAACAAAGTGATGACATCTGATCCCAAATCAGAGTATATGTCCACAAATGCTGAATCGATTGATATTTTCGGATCACACAATGGATTCTATGGGCAAATATTTATTGAAAGTTTAATTGAAATAAACTAATGGTTAAAATCACTGACCGATGCGTTCAATGAAACCAACAGTTGTATTAAAACCACAATTAATATCAAATTAAAGTACATTTTTGTATTTAAATGAATAAAGAAATGTTTGAAAAAATGATTTAAATATTAAACAGACAAAAATTTTTGAAAACACTTGCTTTGCAACTAAATGCTAGTAATTTTCACGTGAGTAATAAGTGATTATAAATTAAAATTTTTCAATATTTAATATAAAATAGCAACATTGGCAAAATTGTAACAAGGGCATTTAAATTTGAGGCATTCTGTAAATTCTGGGATTTCCATTAAGAATATTCTTTGGACACAACAATATATTTGTTAGCATTTATTCATTATTTTAAGTATATTTTATAACAAATCGTAACTCTTGTTCACAATTCAATATTTAATTGATTATAAGTAAAGGCAAATTCATAATGAGTTAAACAATTTAGTTATTCGTAGTATAAAAACAATGTTTGAGTTTAAGTATCAGATTATGAGTTGAATAATACATTCATACAATTTTTGTGCAATGAATGTGTGATTTATATTTCACTTCAAACTAATAACTACTTAAAATAATAAACTGAAAATAACATAAAACTTTAACTAAAACTATATATGATTTTAAATAGTGTTTAATAGTGTTAAATATTTATATTTAAATCAAATTGTATTGACTATAATTGACTAATTTTTAGTTTATATTCTCCGGACGTTTTCCGGACGTAATGTATGTCTAACTCAATACACGTGTGAACTCTGTTTATATTTTTGTTATTCACTTTTAATTAATTGTTTTGTTTTAATTGATTTGTTATTTAATGGTCAAAACATGGGATCAATTAGTGGTGATATTCAACGATTAACACGAAGACAATTGTGTTCAGAGATCAATGCTTTGAAACAATCTGTGAATCGCTTGACAACAGAGTTATTGAGATATAAATTATTGGCCAAAAAATGTGATAAATATATAAATAGTTTACAAAATAATAATCAAATTAATTGTGAATTGTTTTCGGAAATCAATGTTTTGAATGCTATTAACGATAAAAATTGTATCATTTGTTTGAATCAAACTTTTCATCCATTCATAGGTTTTGTAATTATTGTCAAAGAAATTACTTTTAATTAACTTTTGATTTACTTTTTAGAAACAGATCTCAAATTATTCGGTCAAACGAGCGATGAATTCATTAATGAAGAGTTGATTCAAAGAGAAGACAATACAAGACATGAAACACAAGACAATAGAGAGAAGACAAGCGCTGAAGAAGTGGTCGACTCTGAAGACAACGAATCAAATGATGGCATCGATTGTCATATTAATGATGAGATAGACGTTGGAAGTGATGCCGAAGACAATGAAGACAACTGTCAAATAACTGAAGACTTGATTAATAAAAACATTCAATTGAATCGCGAATCAATTAATAGTCAAATAGTCGATGATTTGAACACAAAATCAGATAACAAGAGCACGACTGTGACAGGCGTTGGAAGTGATGCCGAAGACAATCATATTAACGAAGACTTGAATAATAAAACTAATGAATTGAATGATAACTTAAGTGGTAATCAAAGAGGGAGTGAATTGAACACAACATATAATACACGGAAACCAAAGTACACTTCAATTGATAGCGAAGACAATGACAGCGAATCTGAAGAATTGAGTGATAATGAAATGGATGCTAATTCTAGTGATAAAAAAATGTCTGGAAAACCGTCGCGAAAAAGTGGTGTATTTGTGTGCGATTACGAGGGCTGTGACGTGTCCTTCCGTGACTCGTATTTCTTAAAAAGGCACGCATTTTGTCATTTGAGTGCAAAAACCAAGACATCGATGGTATATAAGAGGAGACCCGACGGCCGGTACTTATGTCTTATGGATGCCTGTAATGAGGACTACAAATACAGAGATGCTCTCAGATTACACCAAATGTCACACTTGAAAGAGTGTTCGCAGACTGACTGTTCGAATGAGTTGATCGAAGACAATGAGGACAACAATCATATGAATGAAGACTTGAATAATAAAACCAATGAATTGAATGACAACTCAAGTGATAATCAAAACGCGAGTGAATTAAACACAACATATAATACACGGAAACGAAAGTACGCTTCAAGTGATAGCGAAGACAATGACAGCGAGTCTGAAGAATATAGACCTGATTTGAGTGACAATTCGGGTGACGAATGGATAGTTAGAAAACGGGTGCGAAAGGGACCGAATGGGAAGTATGTGTGCGACTACAAGGGCTGCGGTCGGGCTTTTAATTTCTCTTCGGGCTTACGATTGCATGCGTTTAAACATTTGAGCGCTAAGACCAGGAAAGCATTGGTTTTTAAGAAGAGATCCGACGGCCGATACGTTTGTCTTATGAGCGCCTGTAATGGGGTTTATAAACACATTCGTAACCTTCGACAGCACCAAATCTTACACTTGAAAGACAGTCCGAATGAGTGGACCAAAGGACCCGACGGGAAGTATGTGTGCCATTACAAGGGCTGTTACCGGCATTTCCCAGACGTGAGTGCACTAAAAAGTCACGCATTTTGTCACTTGAATGCGAAGACCAAGAAATCATTGGTTTTTAAGAAGAGATCCGACGGCCGATACGCGTGTGCTATGGACTCCTGTAATGCCGTCTATAAACACAAGTATAACCTTAGAGGTCATCAAATGTCACACTTGAAAGAGCCGTTTGCAGACAATTGTGGATCAGATTTGAGTGACGATGAAATGGACGACAAGTCGGGAGATGAAGTAGTTGGCAAAAAATGGCCGCCAAAAGGACCCGACGGGAAGTATGTCTGCGACTATAAGGGCTGTGACCGGGAATTCCTGTTTGTGAGATCCCTAAAAATGCACGCGTTTTGTCACTTGAATGCGAAGACCAAGAAATCATTGGTTTTTGAGAAGAGATCCGACGGCCGATACGCGTGTCTTATGGACGCCTGTAATGCGGTTTACAAACACATTCAACACCTCAGAGGTCATCAAATGTCACACTTGAATGAGCCGTTTGCAGACTATTATGAATCAGATTTGAGTGATAATGAAATGGACGACCACTGGATTGGATGGAAACCCACCCGAAAAGGACCCGACAATAAGTTTGTGTGTGACTATAGAGCCTGTGGGACATCCTTTAGGATACTGAATGAACTACGAAAGCATGCGTTCAGACATTTGAGTGCAAAGCGTAGGAAAACATTGGCTTTTAAAAGACGATCCGATGGCATATATGTGTGCTTTTGGGGCGAATGTATTAAGACATACAAAACTAGCGGTGAAATCAGAGGACATGTAATGTCACATTTGGAGCACTCGTTAAAAGGAGTCGACGGGAAGTTTGTATGTAAATACAAGAACTGCGGCCGTGCTTTCCGGTCCGCTTTTTTCTTACAACGGCACGCGTTCTGTCACTTGAGTGCTAACATCAAGACATCGATGGTGTTTAAGATACGGCCCGACAACCGAATTGTGTGTCTTATGGACGACTGTAATAAAGTCTACGAACAAATGATTAGTCTTAGAGGCCATCAAATGTCACACTTGAAAGCGCCGTTTGTAGACAATTGTGGATCAGATTTAAGTGATAATGAAATGGACGATAAATGTGATGATCATTGGATTGGTTGGAAACCCACCCGAAAACCTGACGGCCGGTATGTGTGTGACTATAGAGGCTGTGGGACGCCGTGTCGAACACGTGGGGCAACACAAATGCATGCATTCAAACATTTGAGTGCAAAGCTTAAGAAATCATTGGCTTTTAAGAGACGATCCGACGGCATATTTGTGTGTCTTTGGGGCGAATGTATTAAGACATTCAAAGATAGATCTCATCTCCAGTCGCACCAAATGTCTCATTTAGAAGACCCGTTAAAGTGGTCGCAGACCTGTTGTCGCAATGAATTGACAGAAGAATTAAATGACGAATCAATGGAAAGCCAAAGAGTGAGTGAATTAAACACAGAAACTAATGGCAAACGAAAACACAAATCAGCGGAAAGTGAAGAGAATGGCAGCGAAACTGAAGAATACGGTTCCGGTTTGAGTGACAATGAAATGGACGATAAATCGGGCGACGAATGGATGGGTGGGAAACGGTTGCGAAAAAGACGGAATGGGAAGTATGTGTGCGATTACAGGGGCTGTGGTTCGCAATTCAAACTGCCCGCACAATTGCGAATGCATTCGTTTAAACACTTGACAGCAAAGGCAAAGAAATCGCTGATCTATAAGATGAGATCCGACGGCCAGTTTGTATGTCTTATGGGCGCCTGTAATGCGGTATTCAAACGGATTGATAGCCTCAGAGGCCATCAAATGTCACACTTGAGAGAGCCGTTAAAGTGTCCGCAAACCGATTGTCCGTTTGTAGCCATCACTCGAGTGGCCCTTCAAAAGCATGTGATTATACACCCGAAGCCATACGTGTGCGACACGTGTGGCCTAAAGTTGAGAAGCAATGGATATTTAACTCAACACAAGCGCAGACATAACGACGCTTTGAAATACGGGTGCGATTGGCCGGAGTGTGGCCGACTGTTTGCAGAAAAATGCCTATTAAGAGATCACGTGAATACACATACAAGTGCTGTTCACCACCCGTGCGAATGGCCCGGTTGTGGACAAACATATACAAAAATAGGGTCTCTAAGAATACATGTGCTTAGAGTGCATAAAGGGATGGCTGAGTATCGGTGCCATTGGCCAGAGTGTGACTATAAGACCACAAATCGCATCCGACTTAACAATCATATCCATAGACAACACGAGGGTTTGGATGACTACCAGTGCTCTCATACGGGATGTGATTATAAGACATCAAAATGTGGTCAAATGGACGCACATATGAAGACTCACACAAAATCGTGATTTTATTATTTAATGTTTATTTTAATAAAATCTATAAAATAAAATACCGCAGAAAGTTTTAGTGTATTTATAGACTTTTATTGTGTTTATTTTAATTTGTAATATATAAATATTATTTTATTAGTAAATATTTTAATATTTTATATTAATTAAATTTTTAACTTTAGAAGCATTTAATTGGATTTAGTATTAATTAAAGTTTTAATTATTTTTTCTTAAAGTTTTTGTACGTAATGTCTGTATAATTGAGTTCACATGTGATCTCTGTTTACACTTTTTGTTACATATTTGTCACTTTTTGTTGTTTTTGTATCATATTTTTTACTTGAGTTCTGTTTTGAATTTAATTGTCGAAAATGGGATCAATTAGTGGTGATATCTATGGCTTAAGTCGAAGTGAATTGTGTCTAATTGTGTGTGAATTGAAACAAGAGGTGAATCGCTTGACAACAGAGTTATTGAGATATAAATTATTGGCCAAAAAATGTGATAAATATATAAATAGTTTTATGGCTTAAGTCGAAGTGAATTGTGTCTAATTGTGTGTGAATTGAAACAAGAGGTGAATCGCTTGACAACAGAGTTATTGAGATATAAATTATTGGCCAAAAAATGTGATAAATATATAAATAGTTTACTTCAAAGCGATTGACATTATGATTGCCAACATTATTAAAAGCCTAACAAAATAGCATTGACTGTATTAGAGCTTGGTACATGTACATGTTTTGTATTGCATGGTATTGTCTCACAGATGGGGGCGTTTATTTATTTTCTAATAATCTTGGCAGTAATAATGACAAAAGCCATGAAGTTACAAAATAATAATCAAATTAATTGTGAATTGTTTTCGGAAATCAATGTTTTGAATGCTATTAACGATAAAAATTGTATCATTTGTTTGAATCAAACCATTAGTTATGCAAACAATGAATCCATGGATGAAGTGATGACTCAAAGAGAAGACAATACAAGACATGAAACACAAGACAATAGAGAGAAGACAAACGCTGAAGAAGTGGTCGACTCTGAAGACAATGAATCAAATGATGGCATCGATTGTCATATGAATAACTATTCAAACGATGAAACAGATGTTGGAAGTGATGCCGAAGACAAGGAAGACAACAATCATATGAATAAAGACATTACCAGAGATGAGACACAAAGCGAATCCAACATTGATTTTAAGGCAATAATTGGTAGAAATAATGCCGAAAACAATGAGAATAACAATCATATGAACGAAGACTTGAATAATAAGACCAATGAATTGAATGACAACTCAAGTGATAATCAAAGAGGAAGTGAATTGAACGCAACATATAATACACGGAAACGAAAGTACACTTCAATGCATAGCGAAGACAATGACAGCGAATCTGAAGAATATAGACATGATTTGAGTGACAATTTGGGTGACGACGACATGTCTGGGAAACCACTGCCAAAGGGACCAAAGCTTGTGTGTGACTATAAGAACTGCGACCGAACTTTCCCCTCAAAGTATCACTTGAATAAACACTTATTTTCACATTTGAGTGCAAAAACCAAGACATCAATGGTATATAAGAGGAGACCCGACGGCCGATACGTGTGTCTTATGGACTCATGTAATGAAGTTTTCAAAGACAGACACAGTCTTAGAGTTCATCAAATGTCACATTTGGAAGCGTTATTAAAGTGTCCACCGATTGACTGTCCTAATGAATTGACCGACGAATCAAATGACAGACAAAGTGTGAGTGAATTGAACACAACATATAATACACGGAAACGAAAGTACACTTCAATTGATAGCGAAGACAATGACAACGAATCTGAAGAATATAGACCTGATTTGAGTGATAAAAAAATGTTTGGGAAACCGTCGCGAAGAAGTGGTGTATTTGTGTGCGATTACAAGGGCTGCGACGTGTCCTTCCGGGAGTCGTATGCCCTAAAAAGGCACGCGTTTTGTCATTTGAGTGCAAAAACCAAGACATCGATGGCCTATAAGAGGAGACCCGACGGCCGGTACTTATGTCTGATGAGCGCCTGTAATGCGGTCTACAAAGACAGAGATGCTCTCAGATTACACCAAATGTCACACTTGAAAGAGTGTCCGCAGACCGACAGTACGAATGAGTTGACCGAAGAATTAAATAGCGGATCAGTTGACAGTCAAAGAGTTTGTGAAATAAGCACTAAAATTAATAGAAAACGTAAACAAAAATCAGCGAAAAGTGAAGACAATGGCAGCGAAACTGAAGAATACGGTTCCGGTTTGAGTGACAATGAAATGGACGATAAATCAGGCGATGAAATGATAGGTGAGAAACGGTCGCGAAGAGGACCCGACGGGAAGTATGGGTGCGATTACAAGGGCTGTGACCAGGATTTTCTGTATGTGAGTGCACTAAAAAGGCACGCATTTTGTCACTTGAATGCGAAGACCAAGAAATCGCTGGTTTTTGAGAAGAGATCCGACGGCCGCTACGCGTGTCTTATGGGCGCCTGTAATGCGGTTTACAAAAGCAATCATCGCCTCAAAGGTCATCAAATGTCACACTTGAAAGAGCCGTTTGCAGACTATTATGGATCAGATTTGAGTGACGATGAAATGGACGATAAATATGGCATTGAATGGATCGCTGGGAAAACATTGCGAAAGTCTCTTAATGGCAAATACGTGTGTGACTACAGGGGCTGTGGAGTGCAATTCAAAGTGCCCTCAGAACTATTGGGCCACGCATTCAACCATTTGAATGCAAAGGCAAAGAAGTCACTCGTGTTTAAGAGGACATCCGACGGCCGATACGCGTGTCTTATAGACGGATGTAATGATGTATTCACACGGAGTCGACAACTCAGAGGCCATCAAATATTACACTTTAAAAAGCGAAAATGTCCGCAAACCGGCTGTCCGTTCACAGCCATTACAAGCGCGGCACTCACTCAACACGTGAAGACACACCCGAAGCCATACGCGTGCGACACGTGTGGCTATAAGTGCAAAAGCAAGAAGTTATTAACTGCACACAAACACACACATAAAGATGCGTTGCAACGACATCGATGTGATTGGCCAGAGTTTGTTTTGTTTTGTTTTGTTTTATTGAAAATTAGAGATCAGTTTCTGCGCCAAAATAAAAATACAGAAACTTTTGTACAAATGTTTGGTTCAAATTGTTTAACAAATATATCGATTGGATTCATAACTAATCAGATTTGTTAAACTGAATTAACAAAAATATTTATATACCTATGAATAGATATTATAAGTAAATTGAAATAAATTTAGATTATTTACATTAATATATAATTGTTGTTAACTATTGTCTGAAAATAAAAGTAAAAGTAAAGAATAATAAATGAATAAAAATATTTGAAAAGTATTCAAAACTTAATTTGATTTAAAAAGAGTTTCAATTCTTTGGTTAAGTTTTGGTCACTTAAGAGATGATCCAATTGTAAGAATGAGTGACCGGTTCTATGGATAGCATTCAATAAGTCATATCTCTGTCGATCGTATAGTTTGCAGTCATATATGATGTGAATCACAGTTTCCAAGTCTTCTTCGCATTCACACAAATCACTGTCTTTTCGATGAAATCTCTTGAGATATGAATTGAAGTTTCCGTGACCTGAGAGGTATTGAGTGGTCTTATAGTTGGGAATCAATGTCTTGCAGTCGAGTCGTTGTCTAATCGTTGGAAACCATTGTTTCGTTTGATATCCTTTTGCAGTCGTTGTCCACCAGTTCTCCCATTCAGTCATTAGAAGTGAAGTTAACTTTCTCTTCGCGAAGGATTGAGGGAAGCGATCGTAAACCACTTCATGCACTTCATTGGCACTCATGTCGGCACCACTTCTGGCCAATTGGTGGGCCCTCTCATTTCCAGCGACACCTGAATGGCCTCTAATCCACTTCATGTCAACCGACAGTCTTCCGTCGCAGGAAGTGATGAGTGATTTGATGTCTACCACCAATGGATGTGTATTACGATAGCCTTTGATTGCATTGAGAGCGCTCTGAGAGTCCGACACGATTATCACTTTGATTGATATATTGATTGGCCAGAGTGTGGCCGAGTGTTTGCCGCAAAATCTCGCTTAAGACTTCACATGAACACACATACGGGCGCTGTTCAGCACCCGTGCGAATGGCCCGGTTGTGGACATACTTACACTAATATAGACTCTTTAAAAATGCACGTGCATAGAGTGCATAAAGGGATGGCTGACTACCTGTGCCATTGGCCAGAGTGTGACTATAAGACCACAAATCGCATCCGACTTAACAATCATATCCATAGACAACACGAGGGTTTGGATGACTACCAGTGCTCTCATACGGGATGTGATTATAAGACATCAAAATGTGGTCAAATGGACGCACATATGAAGACTCACACAAAATCATGATTACATTTATTAAATTTTAATGATTTGTATAAAATATAGTTTTGTGTATTTATATCTATTTATTATAGACTTTTATTGTATATACTTTTAAAAACTTTTAAATTAACTTTTATAAACTTAAATAATTATTTTACTATATATTTCATTAGTAAATATTTATTAATTAGAATTTTTATTAATTAATTATTTATTAAAAATTGTAATATTCTCGTGGTTCCAAAAGTCATCCATTAATTCTTATAAACTTATGTAACTTTTATCCGTACAAACTTTATGTCTAAACCTTTATCCGCCATTAATCCTCACTCTAGCCTTTCACTCACTAAACCAATGCTTTCTCTCACTCTTACACTCAGTCTCTGTCTAACACTCGTTGAGAACAGTCGACTCAAACACTCATTCAAANACAAACTTTATGTCTAAACCTTTATCCGCCATTAATCCTCACTCTAGCCTTTCACTCACTAAACCAATGCTTTCTCTCACTCTTACACTCAGTCTCTGTCTAACACTCGTTGAGAACAGTCGACTCAAACACTCATTCAAACTCTAATCCTAACTCTAACTCAAACTCTAATCTAAATCTCATTCAA